AACATTTAGCTCGTTGCTTTTTGGCGCACTGCATTTCTATGCTGCTGTCAATTTAACAAAGTGAATTAATTCATCAATTCCTAATGAAGCCGTATGATCGAGAATTCAATTTATTCTTGTCTCATATACAGTTGTCTCATTTACTTAGTATATGTATGTATTATGAAAATGAGATAGCAAAATGTGTATATTGATGGTCATCTTGCGAGCAATAACCATTAACTACTCTCATCAGGCTCTCATCATTAATTTTTCTCTTATTTATTTTTTTATTTTTTAGGGTGAATTATTGGGGGGGATGATTGTACAGGCCATCCCCCCCCACCTGAAATATTGGGGGGGGGGGGAGGGATATATCCCCCCATCCCCCCGGGATCGACACCCATGCATGGGGCCCTGAATGAACATATTTACATCGTTTATAACATTTATAATTTGTTATCTCACGTTCATCTTCCTTGCCTTGATATTTCCCCTCGGTCTCACCTTCCTTTTTCTTTTGTTTTGCCATTCGTGTCCCCCCCCCCCCCGTAGCTACGCCACAACTCATTACTCTAAAGGCAGTCTTTACTGAAAAGGGAGCAATCTTTGGACTCTCTTCTGTAGTGAACAATATGTAAACAGCGCCCTCTGGGTTGGTCAACGTGTTTGACTTGCATTATATGAATTGTAATTGCAAAATACCGTGTGAGTCAAAAAAAGTTTATACACCTAGAAAATTGCTAATTATTTTCAAAATCATCTATAAACAGTAAAATATTATACATCTCATGAAAGAGTGTTTTTTCCAAAATTTGGTGCCATTTTTGTGTGGTATGTGTTCACGCTTGGATGAACAGGTGGCATTGTTTGCGGGAGTGCAAAAATCGACTTGCGCCAAGTGATGCCTACAGTATGTATTATGTTGGGATAAGCGGAGTGAGAGAATGAATTGAATTGAATGTATGAAATGAAATGTATTGCATATGTTTTTTTGCAAAGGGCAAAGTCACACACATGCGCACAAATGTTCGTTGATATTTGATATTTGATATGTGTGGCATGATTAATTTGGTTAGGGATGTTATTTGGATCTGCAAAGACCGAATTAATACCCAAATCCCAATTGTTTTATTCAAACATCACATAAGCAATTTTGGCGCAAGTCGATTTTTGCACTCTCGCAAACAATGTCTCCTGTTCATCCAAGCGTGAACACATACCACACAAAAATGGTACCAACAGATTTGGGATAAAACACTCTTTCATAAGACATATAACAATTTAATGTTCATCGATTATTTTTTAAATAATTAGCAATTTTCTAGGTGTAAACTTTTTTATGACTCACACTGTATATTCAATAGTTTTGTGAATATCTAAAAAATACTTTTGATGACATTTTTTAACCGCAGGTCAGATGAGTAGGTTGAGTATTTTATAATATATCTAAAAGAAAATAAATATTACTTTGAACTGGTTATCTTAAAAATTTGTCTCACTCAAAACCTTAGCCTAAACCTAAAACTCTAAACGCAGCGATTTAGCAGTTGGTGAACGGGTACGACATGGTATACTCCGGGGCGATGGCGTTGAGAGTACGAATACGTAGGGCGAAATTTTGAAGAAATCATCATTAAACTGTGATACAGGGCGCCATTAGATGGCACTAGACCATTATATTTTCGTAGGGCAATGAACGTTTCACAAAGCCTTGCAGTTTTGAAATAGGTTTGGTGATTCTCTTGTTCAACTCAAAATTATTGTAATTAAATGAGGAACTCAATCAAATAATTGTGATCAGAAGCCGCTAGGGCAGAAGATCGTTTTTTTCCTCCAGATTATGGGGGGGGGGGGGGGGGGGGGGGAGTCCTCCATTTCATTATCCATCGACATTGGTGTATAACCCGCAACGTCTTGTCCATCGTTTTTATTTAAAATGGGAGAATATCAAAGACATGTTCACATTTCAAATATCAAACTTCGCGCGCTGATAAGAGTTTGCCCTGAATAGCGAGCATTTAGTTTTTCTATCATAATCTTGAGTTATTTAGTATATTAATTTATTAATTTCCTAATTTATTTGTTTCTTTAAGATTCTACGCCCTCTTAGGTATAATAATAATCTTACCAAACCAATCGGAAAATGCAGCGACGGGTGAGCCCGCATGTCTGAATTGGAGGGGGGGGGGCAAAAATTACTTTGATTTTGTCGAACTTGACATCATGGGTGTCGATCCCGGGGGGATGGGTTTATCCCCCCAAAAAAAATATTTCAGGTGGGGGAGGGGGGGGGGGGGTTGGCCTATAAAATATCCCCCCTCCCTCCAATAATTCACCATCAAAAAAATTTAGAGAAAAATTAATGATGAGAGCTCGATGAGAGTAGTTAATGGTTATTACTCGCAAGATGACTATCAATATACACATTTTGCTATCTCATTTTCATAACACATACATATATTAATAGAAAACGTAGTAAATGAGACAACCGTATATGAGACAAGAATAAATCGAATTCTCACTCATACGGCTTCATCAGGAATTGATGAATTTATTCATTTTATTCAATCAAAAGCATCATAGAAATGCAATGCGCCAAATGCAAAGCCGCAACGTAAAAAAGCAACGAGATAAATGTAAAGCGCGAAGCGCAAAAATGTAAAAAAGAAAAAGAGAGTGGGAGAAAGAGATAATGAGAGACAGAGAGGATAATAACACAGGTGGCAGGCCAGTTCAATCTGAAGTGATTGTTAAAGCTATGTGGGGTTGATGATGCGTTTTTTTTTCATAATGCAAGTAAAGTAATAAAATATTGAAGAGAAAGACGGTTTTGTCCGAATGGCAGCATGTAGGAGACGAAACTTTCAGTTTGTTCCCTGATTTATACTCAGTATCTATTTTGTTTTATTGATTTCATCCATTTCTTTGTTTATTTATATCTCTACATGTAAAACATTTGAAGAGCTTTTTTCCTAGAGGAGCAAAATCTTTTGATAGCAAATGGAGATAATGATATACATTTCCCTCTATTGACCTTGAACAAAATTATTAACCTAAATTACGAGAGAAATTATGAACGTATGTATCTTTTAATATCAATTTTCCATAGACACCTGAACAAAATCGGGTAAACAAAGAGTTCTTTCTTAAGTTACACACATGGATCTAGTGCCTCTTGAAAATAAGCTCTTTGTATGTACATTAACAAGCAATACAACAGAATACTCCAGTTCGATATTTTGGAGAAAGATTATTATGTCACAAATTTTGTTTGTTTCATTGAAAAGCTGATGTGGGCCTATGTTATTGTATTCAAACGTAACAGGCATAAGATAGTTAAGGTGTTTTTGAGGGTAAGAATGTTATTAGGTTTGAAGTTTTGTTTATAACACCCTTCCAATAATAATGCACCTTCTAAGACTGGTTATAGTTTTTGAAGAAAAAAATAGTGCTCTGGTCAGGGCCTTAGGGGAATATTATGCTTATATTTTAGAGCGTATATCTGGTATGATAAGTATATCTGGGTGAAGAAGGAGATAATAGAAGTTTGTTGTTTGGTAGTTGGAACGTAAGTTTTATATTATGTTTTTAAGAAACAGACAGTTTGTATGAGATCAGGAGTGGACATTTTCTGTCATTTTGAGAACCAAATTTTGCATCAGTGATATTCTGTTTCATTGAATTGGGTTTCCCGCAAAGAGGATTCAATTGGTTTAATTAAAGAAGGAAGAGAGTCAAATGGGGAACCAAAAGCAATATGTTTTTCATTTACAAATGAGAACTATGTTTTTTGAGATCTCCGTACACAGAATATTGGAATGGGTTTTTCACGATGAATGTTGTTTGGAGACATCAATATTCATAAAAATGTATGTTTCTATCATCAGGAAATATAGAATTTTCTGTCTATATACCTGAACCTTTCCTGGCTGCTTATTAACGCATTTTCTCACTGGTAACAAAATACTTTCACAAGTTGATATCCCTCACCATTGGAATTTTTGTTGGTAATGTCTAAATTTCGTTTAAAAATAGATGATATCAATCTGGTAGGCCTACACTGCAGACAAGAGTCAGGACTAACATTCAGCATGTTATTAATTTATAAACACTCTTATATTGTCTGAAATGTTATCTCTATAGAGGGTGACTTGAAAAAGTTAATAACTTGGAAGGGAGGGGTGCAACCTGCCACACGCTTCTACCTCTTGGTTGCTTTGATCCATTGCCGATTTTTTTTTGGCACTTATCACCCCCCCCCCCCAACCACGGATACAAATCGACACCACTGCTTGACATGATTTCAAGAATCTGGTTCTCCCTTCCCATCCTAGGGTCTCTCAGTCTATTTTTCGGGGGGGGGGGGATCGAGTCCCGCCGATAATCTCCAGACTATTAAGGATACACTAAGCAGATAGAGAGAAGGAGATATCTGAGCAATATCTAACACAAGCAAGCAAGCAAGGCTCGTGGCTCCGGCTAGCGGCAAACTAAAAATATTCCTAAGTAGCTTCTCGCTACTGACGTCATCTGACATATCGTACAAAAAAGAAATACATAATCTATCATGACAATTTACACCCAACCCTAAGGGAAAAAAAATCATAGTCATTTAACTTGTAATAATGAGAAGGATTGCTGACATGTGCGCGGGTGAACGGTTCGGTTAAGCGGAAGGATCACAAGTGCAAAGGTTCAACCTGGTTAAACATTCTACTTCCTGTTATGAATGTCAGTGGGAATTCCCTCTCAATAAAAAAAATCATACTCATACAACTGCATTGCTGAATGAATCATTATCATATGCCTCTTACTGAAAGCATAGTCGCCGCTCGAAATACTTCGTAACGTAAGTTCTAAAGTAGTAGTGTAAGTAATTTCATAATTTTGTACTGGTAGGCCCTATTTATAATGGAATGTATTATATTTTTCACATTTTCATCGCAATACAAAACATACGCCACTTTCTATTGAGTTTTAACATTTAATTCACCAATGCGCTTTTTTCACAGGTCGTGTGTTTGAGTAGTCAACAATGATGGCAACTTCCTTGAAGCAGGCTGTCGATAAGAACCTGGAGTGTCCTGTCTGCCTGAGCTTCTTCAAGGACCCCAAGATCCTGACCTGCTCCCATACCTTCTGCAAGGGCTGTCTTGAGACTCTCCTAGAGTCTCATCGGAAGCTGTTGTGTCCTACGTGCAGGAAGGAGACTTCGGTTCCCGGTGGAGACGTAGGTAGATTGCAATCAAACATAACAGTCAGATCACTTGTTGAAGATGTGGAGACCCAGGGCCATTCCAACTATAATCAAGAAGACAAATGTAAAAAACATCCGAACGAAGATGAAGACTGTTTTTGTCTTAACTGTAAAAAGTATGTCTGCTGCAAGTGTGCCATATCAGAGCATGCAAAGGACGCTCACACTATCCTGGAAGCAGGCGCCCATGAAAAGAATAACATCGAGGAACTTGCATCTAAAGCGAATGCAAAGATACGCAACGTTGACAACTATGTTACATTCGTTGTAGACAAGCGTAAAAGGGTGCATAACGTACATGAACAACTCAATGATGAAATAGATGATACGTATGAGGAATCAGTTCAGAAGTTAAAGAAAATAAGGACGGTGTTGAAAAATGAAGTCGGACAAAAGCTAGGTAAACTTGAGAGTTCATGGGAGACATGGAGGAGTCAGGTCGTAAACAGATAGACCAGATTAAGACAGCTCGGGACTTGGTTAAGAATGGTCTTCATATTCCTCTCCAGACAGAGGCTCTGACCTCACATAAAGCGAAGTGCCAAACGCTGGAAGATCTTCTAAGCCGGATTGAGCCCGATGAGAAGCTGCCCAGAAGAACTGCTGAGGAAGGTGAAAGAGTTGGCTTCAGGAGTCTGGGATCGGATGGACTCCAAATGGGCCAGTTAAGACAAAAGAAGTCCAAATGGGTTCTGCGCATGCACGGGAGACCTCCTCCCTGATGGAAATATGACCGGAATGGCAATAACACCAAACAATGGGATGGCTGTTGGTTGTAGCACGGGAGGGATAGTCATATATTCTTCTGAGGGCATCATTCAAGATACCGTTCTGAAATCTGTTCAGGTTAATGCACTACACGTTATGCCTGATGGTGGATACGTCATACGCGACTCGAATAACAAAATTGTCTTGTACACCGAGCTTTGTGAAAAGCTTGATGTAACGTTTGAGACAATTGATATTGCGAAAGGTGGATGGCTTGGTGGTCTCACTGTAGACAAGGATGGGCTGATCTTCATAGCTTACAATACATGCAGGAAAATACAGGTTTTTAAGCCAGAAGGTGGGAAGGCAATTAGAGAGATAAAGTGTAACGGATTTGAACCATGGTAAATGTCTGCGATGAAATCAAGTCAAGCGATTGTCGTTAAGAATGGTTGGGATACGGTACACGTGATCAACGATGTGTCTGGTGCTATCATTCATAGCATCAGCAAGGATGATGAAGACTCTTACCCTGCTGTGTATCAGGATAGTTCAGTTATCATTGCATGGGTTCGGCGCGATCAGGGTCTGCTGAGCATCGTTCTATACACAAAAGAGCTCAAATACATCAAAACCATTCTCACTGATTTCAAGATAATCAAACCAGATCGAGATTGGTACTATTTACGGGCATTCAAGACGGGAGAGATTGCTTTTTGCACTTCTAAAAGATTTTACATCTTCAATGAAACGTGGGAGTAAATTTCAGTTTTGCAATTGAAACTTGATGTTTCATCGAATATCGGAACTTTAAAACTCCCGGATACAATCCTTTCAGTACTCCTGTTTTGTAAACAAGCCTGCACTGTGAAAAGGTTGGGCAATATTTTCCAACACTTTGCCCAACGTTGTGCCAATAGTCAACCCAACCATAATGGGCAATATTTTGCCCAGTGGTATTGGTAAACGTAGGTATGTGCATAATTGTTTCGCATTTTGCCCAACAGCTGGTCAAGATTTTCCAAACAAGTGGGCTACCGTAGTCGGAAGTTGAATATCATATCTTTGCCAACATATACGAAACAATAAATTATGCAACTTGTTCACAGTGTGTACCTAAATGTAATGTAAATCAAAGAGTAAGTAGACTCCACTCTATTATAATGCTATCATAATGTTGGCCAATTTCATTATGCTGTTGGCAGTAGACAATGTAACGTTTACTCTTACGAAGTATCAAGATATTGCTCTCATTATTGCAAATGGAGGTTATTTTATAGACTGATGTAGGTAGATAATCAAAATCAAAGACGAGGGGGGTAGCACACCTTCTAATATGGAGGAAGAGCAGCTGCCTTTTTCCAATGATATTTGTAATACTGAAAAGATTCCCTAAGTGTTCATGGTAGTGGCAACGTAAGCAAATTATTGTTTTCAAAATACAATGTATTACTATGTATCTGAAAATGTTTGTTTTTAAAATATGCAAGATACTTGGCAATCAATTAAATTTATATGTTGGTAATGATGGAGAAGGCATTATTCTATATATATATATTTTTTGTTCTTTGTTTCAAGAACATTTTTGATAATGTAGGACATCATTTATTATTTTTCATAGTTGTTTACTGGATAAATGCGTAAAAATTGTGAATTGTGTAAAGGTTCTAAATGGCCTTTCTTTGTACAATCCCTAATTCCCGTACATTCCTCTATCTCTGTTTGCTTCATGTGGATTTATAATTCAGTCATTCATTCGGCTAGGTTTCACGAGATCTAGTGTACTTATTAAGAACTCATTTGTATCCTTTAATTGGAAAGGAAATCAATGTATTATATACTTTAGTTTCTAATGCATGCTGTAGTTTATCGTATTAGTATGCATTAAAGTTAATTCCCCCTTACGAGGTTTATGATTCTTTCATAGTAGATTAATTAACTTTCTTTATTATATTTGTTAAGAATATAGATACATCCCATTGCTACTCGCTATAAAAGCATGATTATTATTATGGAATTATGTCAGTTATCATCTTCCATTCAAATTATGTTACAAATTTCATGTTCGATTTCATCATATTTTCTTAAAGGGGATAAAAGAAATAAACTGGAGTTATAAATTTGATCACTGAAATTTCCGGAAAGCTGTTCTTTGTCCTGTGTCATTGGTGTGAGAAAAAAAATCCAAAAGAAGTGAAAGACCGAGTCATCAAAAGTATTGAATTTAGAGAATCCATGCAGGAGGTATATAGAAGCTTTTGTTGATGATATTCTTATGATATTATGTGAGCGGTTATAACGGCAAGCGTGAATGTCAGCCACCAGGAAGAAGAGGGGAGAGGGTAGGGGGTTAAGTCCAAGGAGTTAGAGAGGAGGAAAGGAAGGGTGAGGGTTAGAGGTATATTGTGTGTTTTAATAAAACAAAAACTCTTGATTTAAATCCTGTATGTTAAAAGATATAATTTTGTTGTTGTTGAAGTATGTAGTTTTATTCTGGAAAAAAAGCAATGCTGATTTTAGATTTTTGGATGAAGTAACTGGAGATTTAAGAAATAAATTCAAGAAATACAAAAAGTAAAGACTCTCCTTCAAATTATCTGTCAAACTGTCTTCAGCATTATTTGCATTTAAGGACATACAGTCTCGAAATATTACAATGTATCTGGAAATGTTGGCTTTAAGATATGCAAGGCACTATAGATATGCAAATTGTCTACTTTTTTTACTTAACTCATGTATTGGTAATGGTTATGAAGGCATAATTCTGTTTTTATTTCTTTGTGTATTTGTTTCAAGGACAGTTTTTATAGTTTAGGACATCATTTAATTGTATATATCCATAGTTGTTCACTGGGACGATGCGTAACAACTGTGAACTGAGTGAACGTACTTAAGGTCCTTTCTCTCCATAATCCCTAATTTTTGTACCTAATATCTTTTTGCTTATAATGCATCTTTAATTCATTTATTCGTTAATTCATTTTTTCATTCATTTGTTTAGGTTCCTTGAATGAAGTTTCTTTGTAAATCAGTCCATAGACTGATGCATTCAACAATTTACATAGTTGCATATTTAAAAATTATCTAAAGATGACAATACATTCTCCAAAGGAATGCAAGGTACAACAAATTAGAAATGAAAAAGAATTGTTAAACATGTTGCACCTCGAATTGATAATAAACATAAACAAATATGTTTCAATGATAAAGACAGAAAAAGAGATATGAGAATTGAAAAACTGAGGAAGACGACAGAGAGAAGAGAAGGGATCTATTGAGAAAAGTTAAAATTGGAGTGTGCCATTTCATTTGCTCGTGTCTTATATTTGAATCATAATGCAAGCGACAAAATGATTATTTTTTGAAATATTGGGTATGTATATAGTTAAGAATACATATATAAATACCTGAACTATGGTAAACAGACTGAACATGACAATGAAATAGAAACCAATGATTTAGCTTCAACTATACATCCAGTCTAACATCGTCACACTATTCTGGAAGCAAGGAATCACCCGCTGTATAAAGGGGGAAAAGAAATATTATTTTAGTCTATAATCCAAAGATGTTAAAATAACACAGATATGTGTTGAATTTCATGATCAATTTAAACTCAAATCACTCATTTAAGTACTAATTGTGTTAATGTTACATTGATGTGCTTTATAGTTGACTAAGAAGTTTAGTGTAAATGTACAAAATGTTTGAGCAAATATTTGCACCTTATGTACAATGAAGTTTACAAACTTTGATATGCTTTATGTTTGACTAAGAAGTTTAGTGTAAATGTACAAAATGTTTGAACAATTATTTTGTCACATATAATGTATACAATGAACGAGATTTAAGTGTACTTATTAAGAACTCATTTGTATCCTTTAATTGGAAAGGAAATCAATGTATTATATACTTTAGTTTCTAATGCATGCTGTAGTTTATCTTATTAGTATGCATTGAAGTTAATTCCCCTTACTAGGTTTAAGATTCTTTCATAGTAGATTAATTAACTTTCTTTATTATATTTGTTAAAAGTATAGATGCATCCCAATGTTATTCGCTATAAAAGCATGATTATTATTATGGAATTATGTCAGTTATCATATTCCATTCAAATGATTTGGGATAAAATACTCTTTCATAAGATGTATAATAATTTACTGTTCATAGATGATTCTTAAAATAATTAGCAATTTTCTAGGTGTAAACTTTTTTTTTACTCACACTGTAGAAGCAAATCTGTTTCCATAGTCCTAGTTTATTTATAAAACAGCGTTTTTATCATTTGATAAACTAACATAAATAAACGAACTCCTTTGTTCATAAATGCACACAAGAATTTGACTAAAATATACCACAATTACATGATAGGAAAATATCACCGCACTACACAGTTATTTCTTCCCAGAACTAGAACAAGCATTGCTTTTTTTCAAAATAATGTTGAACATTTTGAGTTTAATATTTCTTAACATATTATTATACAGAATTGAAGTTATGATTAAAACACACAATCTACTCCGAACCCTTTCCTGCCCTCCCCTCTTCTCTAACTTCTCGGACCCCCCCCCCTCCCACTCCTTTCTACTTGTAAATTTTCTTTTACAAAGAGAAATCGATCGTTTTACTCCATTATTTATAAAACCAAGATGTCAATGATAAGGTTTGTATTACGACTAGCACACCCTGTCTAGCTGTATCAGAATATTATTATTATTACTATTAAAATTATCTTCTTTTTTGTGGGGGGGGGGGGGGCTCCCGCTGATAATCCGTGTACTACATTTTTTTCCTGTTCAGGACCATGATGTAAAACAGATTTTGTATTTACAATACATATCTGATCTTGTTATCCTGAATAAATATATTTCAATAAATACTATTAAGGGGCACACTAATCAGATAAAGAGAGGGTGTTATCTGAACAATAGCTTACACAATGCAAACACATTCCTCGATCATCAGATTCAGTATCAGTTTGATTTATCGGGCATGCACAATACAAAGTACAATT